AAACACATTTGCTTTCTTTATGTGTAGTTTTGGAGTTCCAGAGGGTTCTGCACTGGGACCGATGGAATTCATCTTGTTCTTTTCCCTCGCAACTATTTCATGCTTACTTGGACGGTTCTGAGATCAGATGAAATACAAAATAGTTTTGTCTATTTAACATAAAAAATTATTTGAATTGGGACATTTAGCATGTCGAGAAAATGAACTAAGCCCTAACCCTGCCTGTAAGTGATGACCTAGTTGACATTAAGAGGTTAAATTGTTGCCGTTATTAAAGATGCTCTGCTGTAACACCAGGTTATACCAGTAAGTGTGATTCATGTGCGTTTCTAGTGTTACTGGGAGGTTTAACAGGAGGAACTCTGTGCTGGTTTAGGTGATGTGTTCCTGAAAGATTTCTGGGATAAGTCACATGTTCATTTATAGTTCATCAAACAATAAAATAAAGGCCTAGCTTACAAGGAAATATATCACTTGTACTTCCTACTTTTGCCTATGTCATTTGTGGCACATTGCAAACATGTAAAGACAATTTGTTAGTAGCAGCAGCATTTTAAGTTATGTTTAGCATGCAATGTAAAGAAATGATGCTGCTGATCAAAAGCTGGAATGATGGCATTGATATTATTGGTCGGTTTCTGAGGGACTAATGAAAAGAAATAAAATTTCTTCAGTCTCAAACACAAATAAATTATGCACTGCAGCTTTTCTTTGTAGTTTGCCCCCACTGAATGATGACCCTGCTGATTTTAGTCTGTGGTTGCGGAGCAGAGGTGTGTATCGGTTAGCCACAGTCAAATTCAAACAAATCATCTTTTCCATCAGACAATAGGTGAAACCCACAACCACATGACAAAAACAACTAAATAAAGAAAAGACTTTTAAGTGAATACCATGTACGCCCATGACATCACCTCATTGCTACCAACTTAATGACTTTGTCATTTAAAAAAAAAAGCCTGACAAAACATTTCTGCGCAGCCGTACTGATCAGTGGTGAGTCTGCAGACACAGAAACTGTGCTCTGGCTTCAGTGAGCAGTGGTGCACAGGAACCATTAGAAGACGGGTCCACTCTGGTCATAAAGGGATGGGCTTGGTCAACAACAATAGTCAGGTAGGCTGTTGGGCCTACCACGTGGAAAGTAAATAAGCTAATCAAATGAGTGATTTGGTCATTTGATATCTGTGTTAATGAGCAGTTGAATCAGTGTACCTATGATAGGTGAGCGCGTAACCAACCTTACATTCTCCTGTCCATCTCTCTTTTAAAGAAACCGGTCAACTTTCCATGAAACCTTTTTTTCTGACAGAGCGATGAAAAGTCTGATATTATTCAAAGATCTGAGGTTATGTCATGATGTGGTTTGGTTAGCTTATCTTGTGATAGCTGGAAACTGAATGAGCAGCTAGCTTGGCTTTGTCCAAATATAAAGATAAAGAGCAGCTGTACCTGGACCTCCTTGCTCCTCCTTCTCACTGCAACTGCATCAATCTCTGCAGAATAAAACATTTAAATTACTGCAGGTACAACAACTGGAATAGAAATGTTATGCTGACTCACTGAAAAAAAAATCAGATCATAAAAAATTAACAGTACGACTGAGTTATTTTTAATATTGAATAAGAAATCTTTTCCACATGCACAGTGCAAAGAGAACTCAATGGTTGAGACTAAACAGCTGTGAAAACCATTTGTTGGAGATGCTGATCAAAAAAGAAAGCTTTAGTTTGTTAAGGGAATTGAATATTGGACCATGGACCAATATGGACAAAGGTCATGTGATCTGATAAGCCCAGATTTTCCTGTACAATGAGCACATTAGCGTAAAAAGAGCTACTGTTGAAGTGACACCATCATGTTTTCTGTGTACTGAGGATTGGGGTCGCTTTAGCAAAGTTATGTGGCCGATTGTGGCTCAAGAGTTGGCAGTTTGTCTTGTAACTGGAAGATTGCCGGTTCAAGCCCTGGCTTGGACAGTCTCGGTCATTGTGTCCTTGGGCAAGACACTTCACCCACTGCCTACTGGTGATGGCCAGATGGGCCGATGGCACGATATGGCAGCCTTGCTTCTGTCAGTCTGACCCAGGAAAGCTGTGGCTACAACCGTAGCTTGCCTCCACCAGTGTGTGAATGTGAGAGTGAATGAATAGTGGGATTGTAAAGTGCTTTGAGGGTGTCGAAAAGTGCTATATAAATCCAATCCATTATTTAAAAAAAATTAGGTCAGAGCCAGTTTTTACATAAGTGGATTTTTTTGCGTTACCTAATGGCACATCTTCCAAGATGACAATGTCAGGAGAGACAGAGACAGACAGACAGACTTTTATTTTTAACAACACACTTTTTACCAATAAATAAACATCAAGACATCACAAGTTTTGTCACAAAGGGAAAAGAAAACAAAAAACAAAACTGTCACATGAACATAGATCTGAAGTACAAATGGCCATCTATAGCAGAACATACCACATTCCTAAAACACCACTGAGAAGGAAAGTCTGTTAAATTATTCATCAACGAGTAAAACTGAAACTCTGCTTTAACTCTATATTTAACCAGCAAAATGAAAGTAGTATCAATCCTTTCCTCTGAAAAAATTATCACTTATCTTTTTTACTTTTATATATAAAATTTTTTTGCTTGACCCACCACAAAATTTAGCAGCTTCCACTTTGAAGCCTCTTTTTTTGTATAGCCAGCACCAAAGAGAAATGCCAATGGAGACCAACCCACTCCACAATTTTCAAAGACAGACTCCAACATAACAAACAGTGGTTCAAGGTGTTTACATTCAAGAAACATGTGAAAAATGGTTTCTGTTTCCTGACAAAATGGACACGATTCACTTGCACCTTTTTTAACCTTGGACACAAAACTATTAGCAGCAATGGCCCCGTGCAAAATCCTCCATTGTAGATCACCTGACCTCTTATTCAAAAGGGGTTTATAAAAGACGCATCATAGAGGTTTTTTACTATCCTCAACTTTTAACTTCTCTCCATACAGTATCTGTTCTTCCACTCAATTTCCTTTTATTTAACCATTGCACAGACAATTTATATAACAGTTTTCCACTCAACATGTGAAAATCTGAGTCTTTTTGGTTCACAAGCATTGGTCCTGCCATGCCTGTAAAATCAATATTCAATCCCAATCCTGGAAAAGGATCCCTTTCATCAGGAATCTCCAATCCACTGGAATAGTCCAACAGCATTTCCTTTTCAAATGCAGTTAACCGTCTAAGCCACGAGTCCAGAATACACCTGATAATCCGATTAGATGTCACACCAACCAAAGACGCTGCTGCTTCTGTGTTCTGAAGGTCTGGTCCTCCACAATTTGTCTTAGTTTGACAACCTTTGACTCAAGCAGTCTTTTTGCAAAAGCAAGTCCTGTTCCATCATGTGCATCCAGCCGGGCTCCAAACAACAACGGTTCCTCTAGAAGCCAAAACAATGAAGAAGTAGGTTCCAGTCTTTTCCATGTGAAAATGGTCCAAGCTTTGAAAAGTCCCTTATAAAACAGTGGCATGTCAAAAGAACATATCAAATTACAATTTAATAAAAACATTGAAGCATCCAAGCCCGAGTTGGGCTTGCTATTCGTCTTAAAATAACACTAGTTACTGGTTTCCAGAAAACATCTTCTTCCCTTCCCATCAAGTACTTCTGAATAAACTGCAATCTGAAAGTAGCAGTTCTGCTCTCCAGGTGAACCAGCCCGTGTCCACCTTCCTCTTTGGGCAAAAAAAGCACAGCCTGGGGTATCCAGTGTCGGTTATCCCCCAAAATAATTGGTCAACAGAGATTGAAGTTTAGACAATAAGCCAGGGCTTATTGTGGCTCCAGACAAGCTAATCAATGCCACAATACAGAAGCAACTAAGTTGTTTAATAATAACGGATTGGATTTATATAGCACTTTTCAAGGCACCCAAAGCGCTTTACAATGCCACTACTCATTCACTCTCACACTGGTGAAGGAAAGCTACAATTGTAGCCACAGCTGCCCTGGGGCAGACTAATAGAAGCGAGGCTGCCATATCGCGCCATCGGCCCATCTGGCCAACACCAGTAGGCAGTAGGGTAAAGTGCCTTGTCCAAGGACACAACAACCAGGACAGAGAACCTGGGGATCGAACCGGCAACGTTCCGGTTACAGATACGCTTCCCAACCCCCTGAGCCATGGTCGCCCCAGCCATGGTAGTTTATAATCTAAACCCTCCCTCTATATGACATCTGGGGTAATAACCATCTCCACTTCCCTAATTTCCCCTCAACTGTCCCCAACACCCCTTCCCAGTTCTTGTTTACCATATCCTCATCCCCCAAGTACACACCCAAATACTTTAGAACCACCCCTTTTCCACTTCAAACCACCTGGAAGTTGCGGGAGTCCAGTGCGCCAACCCCCTATTGCAAGAGCTTCGCTCTAACAAAAACAATAACATCATCAGCATATGCAGATAGGTTAAAAAGCATGTTAAAACCTGCTAAACTCATACCAGCCATAGAACACCTAACATTATGTAACATCGGTTCAATAGACAGAGCATACAACATACCAGAGAGCGGACAAAGGAGAGGGAGAGAGAGGTTTCTGCCCGGATGGACCCTGCTGTTTTCTTGCCCCTGACTGTCTTCACTACTGGTGAACTAACTGCTAACTGCCCGTTTCTGATTGCCCCACTAACAAACTCATTGGACTCATGAGTACTAACTGGAACTAAAGTGCACATATTTTGTTTATTGCTCAGCTTGAGTGAAGCGGCCAACAGTTTTAAGCCTCACCGCACCCGAACTTCGAATCAGGCCTGCAACAAGCACTGTGCTACCGGTGTAGTGTGGACAGGTTAAATATTCAAATGTACACTGTCTCCTGACTGTGCGCAACAAGCTTGGTTCCTTTTAGAGTTTTTCTTTGACTTTTAACTTTATGACTGTTGTGTTGTGTTTTTTTATTAAAGTGCACTGAGGACACACCAGTAGCCGTGGGACCTTTGGTGGTGGTTATTTTCCACACTTCCTTTGCTGTACAGCACCTGGGGTGTAAGCTTGATTTTTGTGTGGTTTTCAGCTACTGGTAAGTCCAGTTCAATGTATGGTTTTATGTAATCCAGGACACTGTTAAAATATGCTGTGCCACAGTCAGATTTCATCTTTTTTATCTGTTGTTTAATTGTGATAAATACAAATAAATGACATATTGATATCGGAGCCAATCTGCCTCGGTGTTGAGTCCTTAAACCTGTGTCTTTTCTAGTTTTTAAGAAGATTTTATATTAACTGGGGGTGAAGTACCCCTTGGTGGCATTGTCATTGTATTATTTTGATATAACCCTTGTTGACCACTTGGTCACATATACTTGTGGCCACACCACCATGAGCACCTGATCTCGATGTTATGTTTTTTAAATACCACCACCATGTTGCATAAATGTTCCCACTGTAAACCTTCACCAAAGTCCACAGAAGCAAATTTAACCACTCAGCAGCCAAACTGGTAATACCTGTCTTAAATATGGGCTAAGCTCTGTGCTTTAAGCTTAATCAAAATATCAAACAAACCAAACAGAAATTGGCTGTGTGCAGGCAGGCAGGGAGAAAGGACCCAAAATCCAGGACTCGGAGGCAAACGTAAACTCAACAAGACTTTATTGCTGATAGCAACAGAACAGGAACTTCACTAAACTGAGAATCCAAAACCGAACTAAGCAGGCAGACAGAACACAGTTAACGTGAGCGTACGATGCGACACTGAGCAAAGGCAAAATAAAACAGGAAACAATACACAAAGACGGAGACTAAGAAACACAGACTTTAAACGGGCAGAACTAAACCTAAACCAGAATAAGCTGGAACATACTAAATAATACTAATCATCACCATCATCATCATCATCATCATCTCCTGACAATAGATCAAGAAAATAACTAAAAATACAAAATCAAACCAAAACATGAGAACTCGAAATGTTGGGTCAATTTGACCCAGAACCGTGACACTGCCAGAGCCAAAAAATGAACTGAAAAAAAGTGCAATTACTCTAATGTCCACTTGAGGCTCCAAAAGCGAATTGGTTCCCACAGACAACCACGTTGTCCAGTGCAGTAAAACAACAAGTACACGGACCATCATCTTTACTATGATAACAATGAGCTGAAACTGTCTGACCCTCATCTTTGACCTCCCCACCCCCATGAAGAAAACGCAACATTACCTGTGCTTCGTCTGTCTGGTTGTTTTTGATGACTGGATGCTTTGATGTTGTACTTGACATGAGTCAGGATGTCATCTTCTCCAGTTTCCTCTTGATCTGCTGAAATGATCCAACATTAAAAAAAAACTGTTCAATTAGATATCTAAACAGAGATTACATTTAAGAAAGCACAGACACTGTGCTTGTGCTCCATCCCCACAATTTGGACATCACAGAGTTACTTGGTAAATGGAGATTTTCATCGAGCATGGTGCTCAGACTTAGCCAGCATGCACTGTACATGTTTGGTTGTAAGATTGTAACCCCTTTGTAGTGGAGACCTGTGTTTGGACATTGAGAAGAGGTAATTTCTACATGTCTTAGTGCTGTTTTGCCTGCGTTCTGCCTCTCTCTGTATGACCCACACACAGAGGGATTCGGTACCTCTGAACATGCTAATAAGCAAGACGTCTGGGCAAAACTGCTTTCCGCTGATTCTCTGCAGCTTTTTTTCTCTCTGTGCAACATTTCTTGGCATTTGGAGGTTCTCTGTTCAGTCTGCCTCTTTATTCAGAATCATTGAGATGTCACGGAGGTTGACACGCAACATGGCGCCTGTGTTCGGCTTGGCCGCTGTTGCTGCTCCGTGTGTTTGTCGACTGCTTCAGTCGACACCAAAGTCCTTAGAAGCAAATTTAACCATTTAGCAGCCAAACTGGTAAAACTTGTCCACATATGGGTGAGGTTCGGTGCTATAAAGTTTAATCAAACTATCAAACAAACCAAACAAACTTCCAGACATGAAAAAAACTGACAAGAAATGCAATTACTCTAATGTCCACATGAGGCTCCAAAGGTGAATCAGTCACCACAGACAACCATATTGTCCAACGCAGTAATCCAACAAAACAACAAGTAAAATGACCCCCATCTTTACTACGATAACAAGAAGCTAAAACTGTCTGAACCTCACCATGAAGAAAACACAACATTACCTCTGCTTCGTCTGATTGGTTGTTGTTGATGACTGGATGTTTTGATGTTGTACTTGACATGAGTGATGATGTCATCTTCGGTTTCTTCTTGATCTGCTGAAATGATCCAACATAAAAAAAATTGTTCAATTAAATATCTAAACAGAGATTACATTTAAGAAATTTGTTACTGCACAAACTGAAAACTCCATGGCTGCAATGTCACATTTTCAGAGAGGTAAGTAATCGATAAACTGAGCTCCATGCAGCACAGTGCAGAGACATATTGCTCACATACCCTATATCCACTGTTTAGGTGGTGGTAACCCCTTTGTAGTGGATACACGTGTTTGCTCATAAGTAAGAGGACATTTATACATTCCTTAACTCTGCTTTTCCTGAGTTATCTCTGTATGACCGACACAGAGACATCCTCTGATGCTTTTTATCTCTTTGTATGACCCCAATGGGATTGGCAACACTACCGTGTTTGGAAAGACTAGATTGGGCTTATTTCTAAAAATGAGTCAAGTAACATGCAAGCATGCATCAAGTAACAACCGCACACATAAAAGTGCAGGAAGTTTGATTCTCACCTTCAGGTTTTCTGTGAACACATTGTTTCACCAGCAGAACCAGTAACACCAGTAGAACCACAGCACAGACTGATCCAACACATGACAACACAGGTATGAGAGGGGAACCAGGGCTAGCGATGGAGGCAGGAGGAGAGGTGGATGTAGGTGGAGGTGTGGATGTAGGTGGAGGTGTGGTTGTGTTTCTGTCTAAAATAAAGCAAACACAGTCATTAAGTTGTCGTCACATTGTGAATGTTGAAAGCTGCAGAAACACAGACAGGTGAGTGTGTCACCTGTGACAGTGATCCAGCTGGATGGAGACTCTCCATGACCGCTGATGTCACACTTG